CGCGTTTGCTTAAAGAATTGAATAAAACTAGGATCTCTTAAAGATCTTGCAAACTTTTTAGTAATTGAACATTGTTCAGTATTAACAAATTTTCTCGATGTGTCTTCAGCATTCACATTATTTTTGACACATTCTGACAACGACAACGTCGAAAGAAATATTTTCAAAATTAAAGATGATTAAATTAATATTAGGAAGTACAATGACACAATACTATATATATATATAATTTCAGTAAATTTTAATCAATTCAACACAAAAACAAACTGGTTGAAAAATAATATTTCTACAATCATTGATAAATTGCGAAGGTGAAACCAAAATTTACATTTCAAATGATATCATGAAATTACAAAAATGATAATATATTTTTGTAATAATTTATAGTAATGTTTACACTCCTAAAATTATGTTTAAAAGCACAAAATTGTCTTAATGAAACGCCTTTGAACAAGGGGCTCCGTATTTCGTCGGAGCGAGGGCCTCTTCTGTTGAACTTGCGCCACTGAGCAGAATTGATTGCCTTGTGCGACGAACCACGTGAAGGCAAATGGATAATGTCGCTTATCGAAGATATCGGTAAAAATACATTCATCAAGAAACTGGTCACGACTGATACAGGCAATAAATCAGTAATTGATTGGGACAAAGAATGTGAAGTAACAGCCAGAAACAAACATTTTGAGAAAATTCAACTTCGTGAGAGAAGTCGTAGAAAACGAAAACCTAATACTACGACATCGTAATTCACATGAATTAGAAACTAATATCCTAAAGAAAGATGTGGATAAAAACATCTTACAGACATATGTTACCGTCGAAACGAGTATAAACTGATTTATTTTGTGCTGACACGAGTCATTCGTGCTCGCACGAAAGGGGAAATTGTTATTACTAGGGGCGGATTTTAATAAATGTCATTTTTTCTTCCTTTTCACTTTAGAACAATGCCGTTTAGTATAGAAATTCATTTGAAGTTTTTCCCGTATATGTTCGTTTTTACGGATTACAGGGAAAGTTGTGTGATGTTGCGCGAAAAAACTGCGGATTTCCGGCAGAAAAAAATTCATTTCCGGGTCCTGGTAAAACGAAAAAGCGGATAAATCCAGTTGCTACATTAAGGGAAACAACCTCTATCTCATGGCGTAGCCAGAATCCCTGTGTTGTGGGTCCTTGATACCGAAAAGGCAATTGACGGCGAAACGTCCGTCTGGTGAGTGACAAGTGGTGACAACTAGCGCCTAAACCATGCGTAGCATTTTTTCCAAATCGAAGCGACCCCTGTCCATTGGCTCGAGTCGAAACGTTGAGATTTTGAAAACCATTCTTTAAAATTTGGAGCTACTTTACACGAAGCCCTACGGACACTTTCAAAATTTTCTCAAAAAATGTTTCCAACTTTTTCTCTAAATTTCTTGTAAGAATGTAATATATACTTCTAAAGATGGCGTAGGTCAGATTTTCACGGTTAACTCTGAATTTTCGAAAATTTGAAAAGTATGATTTATTTTCGGTGTCTTCCTACAATTACAAAATTAAAGATAGAGATTATTTTTTCAGATGAAATTTACTATCCATAATTAATTATTTTATTAAGGTCATGTACATTTTTTGAAAAGTTAAATAGTTTTTGCGCAATATTGAGAAGGAGACGGATCGGCATTCGGGAACCCCGGAATTATAATTAAATTATTCAATAAATATATAATTATCTCTATTAAAAAAATAAAACGTCATTTGGGGTGCTTTCCAGGACCTAAAATTTAATATAATAATAATAATAATTATTATTATTATTATTATTATTATTATTATTTATTCGAATCTTACGGTTATCTCACTCCTAGAGAACAATTTCCATATAATTCTTGAGCTAAATTTATCAATGACGCATGAAACTTCGCAATGATGCAATTAACTTCTCCTCATAGCACGTCACACACAGTTTTTAACTGTTTTTTGGCGTAAATAAATGAATAAAACATCGTTTAAAAACGCCCCTTTCGACGCTCGTGGCGGCGAGAGGACGCAAAAAACGCTTGGGCGCAAGAAATCCCACCGAGCGGCGTCCGCTTTAAATTGAGTTTATTGCAAGAACGCTCCATTCCCTGCACTGCCCTGCCGTCTCAAGGTTATCTGTTGTTCTGTCTACGTCCGGAAGATACTCCTAGCACAGAGAGAATGCCAACTGCAAACAAATTATATTATTTATTAAAAAGTGCCATAATCATAAAAGATTGTACTCAATTGAGTGAAAATAGCGGAGCTACAACAGTTTACATTTTCTCATCCCATTCTTTTGCAATTTTCGAAAATTCAAAGTTCAACGAAAATTAAACCTGCGCCATTTTTAAGCATCCGTTGCTTTATAAGTGGAAATCATTTAGAGAAAAAAAATGAGCAGTTTTTGAGAAAAAAAATATACATTGCATTATTTTAGTTATTAAGGGAAAACTATTCGTTAAAAAGGAAATGCTCTTTTTTAAAGATTCCAATTTTTAGAACAGATATTATTGAAAACAAAAACCTCCAACATCCATGATGTACATTGCAATGCTAATTTTTTTTTACAATTTTCGAAAATACAAAGTTTACCAAAAATGTGTCCACCAACCAAACGTTTTATTGCCGTGATTTTTAAAACATTTTGAGCTTTTTTTGAGAAAATAATTGTTTACAAATTGTCTTATTTCATGCAAAATTACGCGCAAACAACTATTTTGATAACGTGACCTTACTTCAAGATCCTCCTTAGAACAATAAATTTCATTCACGAAAAAAATTATCTTCAATATTGCAGTCGTAGGAAGGCGCCTAAAAAAAATTAAATTTTCGAAAATCTAGCGATTTTAACTAAAATGAGACCTGAATTTTTGTGAAGCATTTTCTACGCTATCTGAGCTTTGGACAATGCTTAATCAAAGGTTTGAGTATTTTCTGAAAACGTTGAATCTTCATTGAAAGTACCCCCAAAAATCAAAATATCATTTTCAAACTTGGGAGTCCCTGTGTTCGTACAGATCGACAGAACAACGAATTGTTCGAACGCTTTAGGCGCTAGCGTTGATCACGGACGGCCAGGCGTTTGGTCTTCAATCGATTTTTCGGTTCAAGCCCCTCAAAATATGGATTCTCACAACGGGATGGCAGAAGTAATTTTCTAACAATACGACCAAGATGAATCAACATTTTTCTTAATAGGGCACGCCAATAAAAGTTTGTGTAAAAAAATCGCCGATTTTCGCCGCACTTTTACAATGCTTTCCCTTTACTACGCACCTGGTGCGGCGAGAAAGTAAACAAAAATAATACTCGGTATTAACAGTACTTTAGCACAGTTTATCCATATTAACAACAATGGCATCTTAAGACAAACTCCTCAGATCTAATTGTTAGCTTTTAAAATGTGTGTTATTCCATTTTATTAATATTTACCCTTCATGCCAATTGTATAAAATATTTAATTCATATTCTAATTCTCAGTCTATTTCACTCTAAAGCTTCACAAAAATTACACCTGATCATCCAAATTTTTCAACATTTAACTTTTAATAATAGGTGTTCATTTTATAAATTACATACTACTGTAATATTTATTTGAATTTCTTTGGCAATGACCTTTTGAATCTTTACAAAAAAGTTTATTCAATCAGTTCATTTCCATTGATTTTGAAAAATTATTTTTTGATAATTCACTAAAGTACTCAAGAAGACTATAATACAGAGCAATTAATATGCAATATATATGATGAATCTATCAAGGTAAATGAAAATAAATTTATCAAATACTTAAGCACAATCTACAATCAATGCAGAATACTATGGTAGAGAAATGGCCATGTAATTGCAGACAGTGTGTGGAAAACCGTAGATAGTTTACTCTTCACTTACAACACACCACTACAAACCACAAAAGAATGGAAAGAGAATCCACATTACATTGTAAGGGAGTGTGTATATACATAATTGTGAAAATTATGTATTAAATTCACAACCATAACTTTGAAACACAATTCAGTTCATCAAACCTCAATTCTACAAATTCAAAGATTTTTTTTTTGTCAGCAATCGGCCTTTCACCATTTCTTCTCCTCCAAGATGAGACAAGTACTTGGTATAAAAATATAAGCAAATATTCATCAAAATTTGAAACTAGCAAATCATTTAACAATTCGTTTAATATTTATAAATATCTCAAATACTGATATTAAAATGTGATATTGGAAAAATTTTAAAAAAATCACAATAGCCTAATAATAATATTACTGTAAAAACAATAATAATATCAATTAATCATTATCAATTCTATGCCAGATGATAATATGCTTAAATTCAGAATAAAAAAGTGTTAGACACCCAAAACATTAATCTACAACTATGTTGAGTATGTAAAAAATACTTATCAAAATATTGCAACAGAGAAAATGTATTATTTACAATACATAATAAAAAAATACTGAAAGTTCAATATTGCCTTTGGATCAATCTACATCAGTCAAGCAACAAACATATTTACAACATAAACCTTTTGCACCAAGGCATCTAATAGAATTAGAATAAATAATAAGATTAACTTATCCATATTCGTTTTTTCATGTACGTAATTATCATGAAATTACCAATATGTTTGAATTGGTCACAGACTGTAATTTCTCAGAGAATTTGTATGTAACAATAACTTTCATTGTTCTCTAATTTCATAGCATTATATCAGATTACTACTGCCCACTATAAGACAGACTTACATAATGAAATCAACGAAACTCTGGAACTGCTAATGCTGATCCTATTGAAGTAAATGGTGGTTGCTTTGTTACGATCAGCAGCAACTACAAACGTTAATTGCATTTACAAATTTTAAAAAAACGTCAAAGCAACAAACATTTTCCAGTCTACATACAGCATTTCTTTCGGAACACTGACTGAATACAATATTAATACGTTGTAAGAAACACGCCAATTCAACACGCAATTGACACAGTGGAGAATGCAGTACTTACCTTATTACAAAGTCCAATTGAATGAAGCTCCTGGACCGGAGAAGATAGCCTGCCATACACGCGCCGCCGGTGCCCCTGCCCCCGTCTCAGACCACAGGGCCGCTGGCTGCCCGTCCCCCGCCACGGGTCTCCCCACTGCCGGAGCAGCCAACGCCAGCTGGGGACACCTCGCCTCATCGGGCCTCAGGGAGGGGGGCCATGGAATAATCAGTGGGCAACGCGCGACCAGTCTCCCAGAACTTCCATATGTGGTGCGCGTGAGCAATGGCGCAATATTTGAAACAAGCTACATTAAATATTATTTTTCCACAACAGAATAAAAATAAGGAATTTTGCGTCCCGCTATGCATGCATAGATGATACTTAGATAACATAGAGAAGATGAAACAAATATCAGTAATAATTCAAAATAAACACATTTATGTATGTATGTATGTCTATGTAAGCATCTACATTAATTGCATCCTATTCATAATATAATGCATTGTACAATTGTCTGGGAAGGAAGTTGAATCTTTCTTATTCACAATAACACAATTATAAGTGAAATAATAAATTAATTATGGAATAGGAATTTGGTTTTGTGTGAACGGTGAATTTGTAATACAGGCCTGAAATTTTACTGGATAAGAAGAAAACATTAAATTTCAAGGAAAATGTGGTGTTCATTGATAATGAAGTAATAAAATGGTACATACATTATATTACAAGAATGATATATAGAAACTTGCAAATTTGCAAACTTACTATTTTTAAAATGGAGTGAGAGCTAAGCTAAGTAAATGCTGGATTGAAAATGTTAAAGAAATTGGTTATTTACAAAGAATAGGGTTGCCACAAGGATAACAGTGGAATTCAGGACATTCAAAATATATTTCAGAGCAAATTGTGTATTTGTTTTCCAACTAAATAGTATATCAAGTTAAATGTATAAAAAGGAAATAGTAGTACGCAATATGTGCAAAGACTACAAGCGGAAAGATTTCCTACAGCAGTTTTAAAGTATAAACCCATAGGATACATAGCATAAGAAATATAGGAAGACTAAAGAAAAAATATGGATTGCTCAAAAACATCTGGAGGAATAATCACCAGATCTACTGTCTTTTTGAAAGGAACAGGCACAACACCAACTATCCTGCTGTTCATGATGATGATGGAAATAGTATATCATGTAAACAATCAAATAGTAGATCAAAATAAATTATATTGCACACTTTCAAGAATATCAAGGTGACCATTCTTTTTCTAGGACATATTTTTCTGATTTTTCCAGGTTATCCAAGTCATTTTCTTATTTTTTCATGACAAAATTTATGCAGTATTTCATGGTATTTAAATAAAACATTAAATAAAGCATGACATTGATTAGTATTAAAGCATTATTGTTTACTGAGCCCTTTTCCCTTTTTGCATTCCAGGTTCTCTTGCTTTAACACATTGTGAGAGAAACAGATGCACTTCAATTCAAAACACAGACTATCTTTCTTTCTCTATGTATCAGCTCTTAGATTGTACCACAAAAAGACAAAAATAACAATAATTGCTTAACAAAAGAATTAGCTACTTTCATTCTCTTATGTAGCACCTAATTCTATGATGTTCACAAGTAATCCTAGAATTTTTTTATAGGACTGTATAGAATTTTAACAGAGTTCAAAAATTTAGGACATTTGCCAGAAACAAAGAAAAATTTGGTGGGACAGCAGGATGCATGTTGATATTCAGGACATGTCCTGCTTTTTCAGAACATATGGCAACACTGAGAAAGAAATCAAAGTGATGTTGTGACTCTCATTTAGAAAAATGTTTCTTGACAGATTATTTGAATGACTTTTTTATTAAGAAATAATGAATAACTAAAATACTGGAGTACTATTGAGAATTATGTGAATATAGTTGTAAGATTTAAATTTGAAAATATTAGTTGTAGGCTACTTAAATTTAATAAATATTTTAAACATTATAATTTTTTTATACTCTTTTAGACAATTCTTCTTTAGATAAAGTAGTATTGTCCCGATTAAGTATGTTTTCAATCGTCTTTCATAACATCATGTATCATAGATCATCTCGTAATGATATGAGAGTGATTTATTAAATTGAATACACAATTCTTAGATGAGGATACATGATATACTGTCAAACGCAAAATCATATTCAAATAATTGTTTTTCTCACTAATTTATTAAAGTTTTAAAAACATAATTTTGTATGTTGAAGTGTATGAGTATATTTCAGTATAATACCTACATCATTTTATTCTTAGAGATTTTGACATTAAAATACACATCACTGGGTATAAGTACATCTATAATAGATAATCAGTACTGGCACTAAGCATGGGCAGACCGGGCATTCAAGATCGCCGGATCCCTCCCGATCAAAGGGCTTGACGGGAAAAAATTAGTAACAAATTGAAAAAGAAATTAAAACTAGAGAAAATCATTATCATAATTTTATAAGTTGTCATTATTTAGGTCAAGGTAGTCTGATGTATCATAAACTTTTCAATCAATTTTTTACCTTAAATTGTTAATTATAGTCATTACTTGTGAGGTAGGATTCTATGAAGCAAATCATATGATGCTAACATTAAAATAGGTTCTAATAAATTCTAATTTATTATCTCATGTATTTAACAAGTGATTTTATTAAACACTAACTAAAGATTACATTTTTTAGCGTGCTCACTGTGAAATTATCATTTGATCACCAAATACTTTTACTTAAACATTTTATTTAGAATATATTTTCGTAAAGTTTTTCTAACTTAAAAGTTGTAATTTTGTTATTTGTTGAAATAAAATAATTCAGATAGTTTCTTGATACAACTTTCACATTTTAAATTGCTTTGGAGAATGGGCTAATTTTCAGCATTGCCCCATGCCCAACGTTGTCTAGCTCCAGCACTGATGTATATAAGTTACTTTTAATTGCATTAATGATTTTATAACTGAAAATAGTATTTCAATTTTTAAATGTTTATTCATTACAAATTATTTTGGGTGTTATCTAATTTTTACGGTAATTGTCATGTTTGATTTATTTCAACATTTTTCTTTTAGTCTTAAATTTTATTGTTGTACTGTAAATTTAAATGTTGACATAACTTAGAAGTGAGACGTTTTTTTATTTGAATGAATATAAAAACATTTAATTTTAGAACACTGATTCTTAAACTGTTGTGTGAGGCATGCGTAACTGTTCTTGATATGAATTTAGATATTTTCAAATGGTAATACACTAATAGGACTCACAATATTCCTATTCAACTTGAAAGAAATTATGGAAATATACTGAGAGCTATTTTTGAAACTAGCTTTATCACTCATATTGCCAGCCCTTAAAAGGTTTTCTACAGGCTCTCTGAACAGTTGATGTGATCATGAAATTCATTTGATAACATATTTCTCTATAACTGAAATTATATCATTTATTTAAAAACAGCACTGTTGAAGATAATTCCCATTAAGCAGAAAACTGAAAGTATTTGTCAGTGTCCTAAAGTATTGGTATATTTGTCTTGCAGTTACTATCAACATACATATTACATTCAACACATTACATTGTTTTTATGAATATCTCATATTCTGACACAAAAATGGGGCTAAATGCCAATTGTAGCCCTGTAAAACCTTTACAGTTTCCCAAAGCTAAAGAAAACGTTTTTTTAAAATTTGTGTGAAGTACTCCGGGTAAATTGATTTAAATCCGGTAAAAAACTTATTAGAAAAGAGACAAATTTTGTACTACAATGGTTGACCGACTTCTATGTTGAGTACGATTGTATGCTGGTGAGAAAAATGCAAGAAAATTCAATCCTTCGTGGTATGATTCACACAAATGGCTAACAGATAGTAAAGTTCGAGCTAAAATTTATTATTGGCCCTGTTTTTTTCAATTAAGGAGTACTTGGATTCAGATGGATATTGTGACATTAAAAAAGTATCAAAAATTCAAAAGTTTTACCATAACATGAAATGTCAGAAGATAACATATATACGTAATTCAGTAAATTTTAAATGCCTGGGGGAAAATTGAATACGATTTCTGAATTATTGTCAGAACACCACAAACTCGCAACACTTTTTTGAATCTGCGCATGAATTTTGAATCATATCTGCGCATGTTTGGTAATAATGGAAATAATGCTTCAAAGTTAAATGATATTAGTGAGACAATTATTTTTAATAAATTGAATAAAATTACAAAACCATTGGATCGACATGAGGCATGCCCCCAGGCCCCCTTCCCGGGATCCGCCGATGTTCAGTGATCTGTTTTGCCCACCCTGACCACCATCCGCCGCTGGTGCGTGGCCGAAGAAAGTGTAGTCTCTACAGCGAGAGGGGGTGAGGAAGGTCGGGGTGGCACATGTAGAGAAATGAATAATGGGAGAGGTAGTACAGGTAGAGAGGTAAGTAGGTCCAGGGAATAAGGTAATTGGGTCCGAAAGAAGACCCGGAGGATAGACGAGAGCTAGGAGATGTGGGTGGGGATGGATCTTGGGCAGGACACTGCCGAGGTTATGAAAGGATGTGTTTTGCAAGCTCGCTACCGAGTGCATGTTTCCCGACAAGTTTCAGGTGAAAACAATACCTGGTGAAATGTTTTTCTGAGAGAAAGGTTGGCACAAATAGCTGAAAATGTGTGCCTCAGATTGGAAGCGATCAAAAGATTTAAAATTAAAATTAGCGGTCTTTATACCGCTAGCACACTCATTTCCCTGCCAATAGCTCAGTGACTAACATATACAATTACAGGGATTGTGAATGGGTTCCATTGTGATAAATTAGTTACATAGACACATTTAAATAGTTAATATAATTCTCAAACAATGAGAAAGTTTTACATTGACAACTGTTTGAAGGTACATTTCTCAATTCAATATTGATGAATATTCGAGCTTGAATAAATGTTTCGTAAAGTTAAAGTTCTTACGAATATACTACAGGATGTTGCCACATTATGCAATAACATGTCACAAGTATTACAAATTGTGCACGTTAATGGATTTATAAAACAAGAGACAATGATTGTCAAAGCTTGGGAGTATCAAATAACTGTCTTGCGAGCAAATCATCCATTAAAATACAATGCCATAACACCTTACTTATGATGCAATGTTGAATCAATCCATTCAAGAAATTAAACCTGTGATGCAAGTAGCAAATGGCACAGAGCGAAGTCGATTGCTTTCAAGTCGCTTGCTTTTTCACCAAGGAGGTCCGGGTTCGGTTCCTGGACAATCTCATGTGAAGTTTGTTCCAAAAAACGAGTTGGCCTACTTCACAGGGGCTAGACCAACCCCTCTGTGAAGCGTCCCAATCACTACCCGCATCCCAATTCCGTCCCAATTCTGGCTGGTGGGCGTAAGAGAGAGGCAGCAAGAGCACGTACGCTGAGATGCCACCTGGCTGTTTTCTTGACAACAGACTGTGACTGTAATTAATGAAGGATTACTCTCTAAGCGCTCAATGCTCGACAAGAAGCTTGGAGACGTATTGCGGCGATAACAATAATAAAATAAAAAGGTGACAGCATAGTTGTTGAAATAACAACAATGGAAATGGTTGCGGTAAAATGCAATTAGTGATATTCTAACTAATTTAAACAATTTGCATTGTACAAATGCTACAACAGAACTGTCGGCACATGCTTCTCCAACCAAAGCCACCAGTCGAGAGAGTACGCACCACACGTCCGCGTCAGCTATCCTCTACATACCGAGTGGGTGAGAGTGACCTATCTTTTGACGGAAGATGTGAGATTCGCACACTTTTCTTAGAAAATGAGCCATGCAAGATAAACCCAGTAAAACTACATTTAAATGTTACATTACAGTATATAAGTTTTGAAATATGTTACCTCATCTTCAGTGCTCCCTATCAAACACACAAAAGAAAATAAATTAATGTATGTACTAATATATATCCGAGTAGGAAATGATGAATTAATACAATTAAAAACTTGGCCATTTAAGCCAGTAAATTATTTCGTAGGAATGCATATTCAGAGGTTAAATTATAAAATAATTTATATTTAATGTAATACTTTATTAGTAATTTCGAACATTTACAAATTTTATTAAATTCAGTTGATACATACTTTACTATTCACACATACAATGTATCATACTTACCATTCAAAAGAAAACACATGCTTTAACAAATTATATGAGCAAACAGATTTTAAACGTTTTAAATGTTGTAAGCACTCAGTTTTTAAGAATTATGCTTCATTTCTTAAAACTAAATGATACAAAAAGTAACGTGAAAACAGTAATGATAATCACAAGGAATGTTTCGAATTTCCTAATATTTTTAAATCAATAAAAGCATTTTTTTTAATTGAGTGTCAAGCAACATTGAAAACTATTTTTACAGTCATAAGAAATAAAGTTTGTGCTGAAATGTAATAGCTAACTTTGGAAGAAAAAGAAATAGAGGACCATTTTGAAGAGAGCCAGCAAATTTCAGTTTCAAATTTGAATACAAGAATATCTCCTTGTAAATTATGTTATTATTAAAATTGTCACTGTAATTATTTCCGTTTTATTGCGGACACCGTACACATTTATAAATAAATAAATTCGGGGAAAGAAAGCGGTAATGACTTCGCATTGATATATGGATTAATATGACTTCTGATCGGAAACTATGGCATTCCGTCATCCCTTTATAGTTTTCATGTTCGCGCTGGCACTATTTTTGAGAAGTCGTCCCTGAAATACAATCGAATGATAAAAGATCTTAGGTCTCTTCCAATGGCAGGTTGAAGAAAATTTCTATGTCATTACAATCACAAGGAAACTTCACATAGCGACGAATAACGGGTGCACGAGGAACATCGTACGTGGACGTCAGCCAAGGCGTAGTCGGTGCTGCTACCGATACTGGCGCTGCGAGTGGCGGTGCTCAGAAGCGGCGGCGAGGCGGCTGGGTTGGGCCTCCCAGGACCTTGGCTCCTCCGCTCGACAGCTGGCGCGCACTGCGGCAACAAAAGCAATTTCTGAGGCGGAGCCTCATTGAAGGAAAAGACATTTGCAATAAATGAAGAGAAGGTAAGTATCCCCAGTTATCAATATCATCTCCATATTAAAATTGTTGACATATTTCGAGAAAATTAAAGTTCAAAACGGATGGAGCTGACTTGATATGACTTGCTATTTTTGACAAAATATACTCTAAGCTAAAAACTAATAATTAACTTAAAAAAAAGTAAATACACATTTTTACACTACTAATTAATAAATTTTGAACTAACATAAATCATTGATTTTGAAATAACAAATTGAAAATTGTGGAGTCCCTTCACATTTGACGCGCCCTGAAGGGCTCGGGGAGCGCAGGAGCTCCGGGGGGCGGGGGAGGGGGGTGAGGACTGACCACGCGGTGACGTTCTCGACGCCGTCGCAGACGCCGATGTCCTCGTTGAAGGCCTCGTCCTGCGCGCAGCTGTAGAGGCGCGGGCGGCCGCTCACGCACAGGAAGTACTTCTGGCAGTCGGACGGGCTGCGGTAGAAGCGGTAGCCGTCGGCGGCGGAGCTGCCGTCGTCCGGGCAGCGGAAGCCCAGGAACGCTGCGCACGCCAACGCTCTCGTCGCGCACCCACGCACCCGGGTCGGTTGGGAGGCCGGTGGTTAATGCACGGAAAGTAAATTGTTTTAGTTCCGTCAATATGAGAAATCCCTTATTGAAAAGTATATTCTTAACATAAAGATAATAAAGAAGGATAGAAATAAAGGAAGGTTTGAAAAAAGGCATTTCATGTTAGTCACAAGGATTCCTTCAGTTTCCCCTTAATTTTACTTTCATTTAGTTTCAATTAAATTTTATTTTATTAAGATAGGGTGACCAGATGACCCATTTGTAACGGGATTGTCCTTTGTTATTGTGTGTCCCATTGTCCCGACAAAATATTAACGGGACGAGAAATGTCCCGTGTTTTCACTGATATCCCTCTCCCTAGACTCACTTTTGTTTCCAAAGTGCAGATGTACAGATTGATAAAACATTGTGTGATGTGATCCACACACTTAAATGTAAAGGCAACCCGCGAAAAAACAGAGGTGGTTGAGAGTTTTGCGGTGAACGAGGCACACAAATGCTGTAATGGAGAGAATATTTTTAATCACGCACTCATTTTCGATTTAAGAAGAAAACTTTATACTAAAATTATTCAAGCAATTGTAATTTTAAAAACTCATATTCAAAACCTGAGCTGTAAGGAATTCTACAACCTGTTACGTAATTCAAAACTCTTGCTAGATATCAAGTCTTCTTCTAAGTACAGAGTTCTTAGTGATGTTTTTGATTCAGAAGATTCATGTTCAGTAAGTTCTTTGTAAGTTGGTTATTAAAATGTCTTTTTGTACATAAAAAGTATTGTATTTCTGTCAGTGAAGCAGTAAAAGCAGTCACATACGAAGCATATTGTTGTTGTAAGCTCATGTCCCGTTCTGTCTCTTTCTCTTCTTCCATATTTCAGAAAAGTCCGGTTTATGTCGTACAAAATCTGGTCTCCCTATATTAAGAGTTAGTTTCCCCTGGGATAGCGTATGTGAAAGAGGTGCGTTGATGTGTACGGGAAGGCGCGCACGTACCCTCGGCGTCGCAGGAGTCGACCTGGTCCGGCCAGTCGCAGCGCAGCGTGTCCTCGCTGAAGGCCAGGCCCTCGGGGCACTGCAGGTGGAAGCCGCGCCCGTCCACGCACGTCACGAAGCGGCCGCAGTCGCCGGCGTCGCGCCCCTCGCGGAAGTAGCCGTACTGGTGCGGGCAGTCCTCGGTGGGCTGCGCCGGCTCTGCAGCAGGCCACGGGCCGCAGGCCGCGCTCAGGCAGCGCCCGCCCACGCCCACGCCCACGCCCACGCGCACGCTCATGCCCAGCGGCCCGCCCAGCGGCCCGCCCAAATGAAGTGTATGACATGCGAAGTGTATGTCAGGTAGAAAAAAAAACACACCGTCTTTTACTCAGATGTACAAATGATTGTTGCGGCAGTTTGATAGGTAGAAAGGTATTTCTAATTATTTTCTTGTTAATTTATATTCCTTGACTTGACGCATTGAGTTTCGCTCACGGCGTGTTAAAAAATAGTACACGCAACACGGTCGCCAGGTAATTCCCGCACTCGTCCCTTTGTCGTCCTCGCTACGCCCGGACGACAAAGTGGACTGGTGCGTGAATCATCTGTTTCGCGCCCTTCTTAAGTAAACTACTGTATTGCTAATATTTTGAGGAACCCGCTGGTGTGTTTTCCTTCGTCCTGAAACGACTCCCCTTGCGATCATTACACGCGTTGGGACTCACGCAGGCTGGAGCGGCCTTCGCAGTCCACGTCGACGGGGTACTGGCAGGGGTAGGCGTAGTGGCGCGCCGCGGCGTTGAACAGCAGCCCGTCGGGGCACAGCTTCTCCGTGGCCTCCCCGTCCTCGCACTCGAGGTAGGCGTCGCACTGGCCGCCCATGGGGAAGCGCCCGTTGCGCTCGGCCGCCGCCCGCCCCGCCTGCGCCCCCGCCCCACGCCCCGGGCCCCGCCCCGCCCGCGCCGCGAAAGCCCGCCGCGGCGGGAGCCGCTGCTGCCCCGCCGCCTGCAAACACACACACACACACACTAGCAGATGGCATGCCATACGATTGAGTATTGGTGATTTCGGGTGCGTCAAAATGCAAAATCTTAGTCCCGTAAGTGTAGTGTATATTTTTCTCGGGAGGTGGCGCTGGTCTTGCCCCGCTGAAGCGTGCCGGCACATACCTAGCACAACTGGGGATACCCAGAGTCTCCCACCAGCGGCGCACCACCCCAACCGGAACAAGCCTCTAAGCTCCTACTGGACTTCCGGTTAGATAGTGTAGTGCAGTGCAAGTGTAAATGAGTGCAAGTAGGGGGGTGGTACAAGAAAAAGGAAGGAAAGATCGCGCGCAGCGTAACACATTTTTACGCACTGCTCCGATATTGATGTTATCGAGAACCACGGAAACTACTCGATCGAGCAGCCGCAGATAGAATTGTCCTCCAGAAGAGACTGAATTTGAACACGCGACTGCCTTACTGTAACCACGACGCCAGACTTTATCGTGCTTAGAGCACTGCAGTGAAATCAGTGATTCCCTCAGCACTTTAGTCGGTCACATGTCATATATTACATTGTATATAGAAGCATACTCGGTACAGCATAGAATAGCACAGTGTAGTATATATACACCTAATATTACAAAATAGAAACCATTTGTAGTTTTCAATAGTTTCTCCGGCCAACAACAATGCAATGCGGGCAGACCAAAAGCCAGTTCAATGGACGATCGCTATCTTTCCTTCCGCATCATCACTCCCTCGCGTCCCTTACACGCACAAGCTGCACTTCTCCTCGCTCGGGAGGCCAGTGGGGGCGTAGAGAGTATTGAGGCGTGCGGACCTCTCGCGCGGAGATACCTGAAAGGAAGGCGCTCCGCAACGTGTGGAGGGCGTCATCAGTCCACGGGAAAGCCCCCACGCAGGCTCAACGAAGGCGCAGTTGCGCGCCCGGACACTTATCACCATCGCAGTAAATTAGGCTAATCTGTTGGCAAGGGTTGACTACCAGCTAGTGACGTCGTTTGCGCATCGAGCATTGCAATGGATGGAATGCACATAAGAATATGACGATCCCAAACGAATCGTTGGGGGGAAAGGTTAAATGACACCTAGAGGGCGAAGGGGAGTGGTGCGGAAGGTAAGTTGCAGAGGCAATGGATTTCAGGCGCTGAAGATTCCAAACCTGGAAGAAGAACGCGTGACGTCGCCAGTAAATAAATACATGGTTTTAAAAGTCTGGTAGATTAGCATATACTCGTCAGCAGTTTTTCCTCCTTCAGGGGGCTTTGCGTCAGCCACACCTCATGGTCTCATTTCCGCGCTTTGATGCGATGTTGTAGGTATTGCATTGGTTAATGCCTTCTGCCTAGCAATAAGTATGAAGTTATTTAAATTGTATGTGTAAATATGTCAGTGTGTACCTCTTAATAAAAAATAAAATATGGCAGTCACATTACTGGAAACGGAAGATTACTGGAAAATAAATTTAAAAAAAGGAGCATATTAAAAGTGTGATTGACGCATGAGTCAATATCCTCATCTGCCCTTTATCAAAATCAAAATCTTGCTTGTTTGCTAATATTGACGGGGAACCTATCTTGCTTCATTCAAAAACTTTATACAACGCGTTGACGTATATTACACATACAAATATAAAACACGTGAACATTTGTGCTGGGAGGGTTAAATGGGGTATATAAAATAATCCAGCCGCAACTATGCACCTTATTGACTATTGAGAATCCCGTGTTAGAGAAATAATACACCTATAATATATATATATATATAAATGCAAATTCATATGCCTAAGCAGTGGTACATTGGCCTTCTACTTCACGTGGCCAGGAAAAGCCATCGCTCCAAAGAAGCGAACCACTATACTAGTAAAGAGAACTCGCTTTTCCCTTTGCGCCTGGACATGCTGCAACCCACATTACAGGAGCGTATTACGGGCTCGTTCATGTAAAATGGAAAGATGCGGGCTAGTCCGAGGGAAAATGCTGGCTCAACACTTCGTCGTAATTTTGTTTTAAATGTATTTATTATCGACACACTTTCTCCTTCAAGGAGATTAATTCTTCTTAATATACAGTGAATGAGGAACACAAAAAAGTACATGAGATGTTTATCTACATCGATAATCACTAATGTAAATAATGAGCAGTGTCTACAAGAATACAACGGCTACAAAGTGTCTCAGAGGATCTTGAGACTGAGGCACCTTGCAGAAGTGAGAACCGGCCCTCCCTGCCCGCACCCACTCCGGCTCGCCCGCGCGGCAACATTTCTGCCTAGCTGCGTTGCGGATTGCGTTTAACTACGTAATAAGACACTTCTCAATCGCATACTTATTTGCCCACACCGCCGCTCAAATTTCGTGTTCACGTAGAATTTTTAGCAATGTTTGCAATGTTTGAAAATAATTGCAAAACACATTGATTTTTGCATTACATACACACGAAAATAAGCATTAACTTGTGTAAATTACGCTGAAGTATATAACATCAATTTATATCAGGGGTTCCCATCGCGTCTGTATCTTTGCCCTGGGGGTCGATGGAATTTTGAAAGGGGTCAAAGATGGTCAAGATCGATTGGGGTCAATCGTTGTTGCATCGGTTGTATCCGTTGTTCATTCTCAGGAGCTAGGTAAATAAATTATAATAACGCCTTCTAAATGATTCACACTCAAGAAACTGAAGGGTTACCAAAAGCTAAAACCAAAAGTGTTTGGAATTTGCCGAAAGAAAACGCCCCAGCAGATAGTGTCAGTTGTAGGGCATAACCTGGTGAAATATTTGAAAACATGGAAATTTGTACTTGTTTCTTTCTTGTGAGAAACCCATCAAATATTCTCCATAATACGCGGTGCAGTAATGTAAAGGACAGTTCTAAGAAAAGCACTCAACCTTTTTTTATCATTGCACTAGAGTAACGATTCAGCTACTCAAACTTACGGCGTCTTAATTTTATTACTGCAGATCGAGATATTTACAAGAATATTATTGTTATTATGTAGGATATTATTGTTATTATTATTATTATTATTATTATTATTATTATTAAGGATGCTATATCTTATAGATAAAATGTAGAGGACCGATGAAAGAAAAAGGTTGGGTATCACTGATATATATTGAAATTGTATATTTCGTCCAAGCGATATGTGTGTTGCTTCTCCCGCCGTGGACATTCTTGGGCCGCAGTCGCGCGCCTCGCAGGAAACACTCGCGACCTTGGCAGAGGCAGCGGAGGACGTGGCGCGGGTGGCGATGCGCTCTTGGCAGCGCACAGGGACAGACGCACGCAGCGGCCTCTGCCTCCGCCTCCGCCTCCGCCTCCGCCTCCGCCTCCGCTCCCGCCTCCGCCCCCGCCTCCGCCTCCGCCCCCGCCTCGTCCCGTCGCGTCTCATCGGTCTAGTGCAGGCTCTGTTCCCGGAGATGGCGGAGTTCCACTCAAACGTCACATCCGGCGCACACCAACATGGCGTAGTTTCCCCCTCCAGGAATCTCTTCCAATGAGGTGCTGCTCCTGCCGGGATAAGCTCTAAGCACCCACCTTGTGCGACAGTGTGCTGAATGTAAATGTAACTGCATGTGTGTGACGAGAGAGCATGGGAGAAAAGATGAGGAAGGGAAGGTCGTGCGGTTCTTGAACGGTTCTGCACCGGAATTTGCTTTCAAATATGAATAAAAAATCTCATAATGGTCTTGAGACTTAACACATTTAATAACAGGAAACCAAAACTACGAGAGAAAAGTTTTCCTGAAACATACGAAAGTAATAAGAACGGTTAGCATGCCGAAACTTTTCCTCGGCTTCCAGGTGTGAAATGCAGACTTTTTATACTAAATTGATTTGGAGGAAATGTAATCACTTAGCTATTAATTGTTTCAGAGCTTTTAAAAAAAGTCACTAATATGATTAGGTATTCGTGCCTAACAATGCCCTGTGGCTCCCGGAGGAGATAAGCTTGCGTCACCCTACCAGAGTCGATTCCACTGTCTCCGCATCCGCTCTTTTCGCTGAAGTGTTTTTTTTAGTATAATGTTTTTGCACAAAATTGCATATATCTTCACGCCACCTGCATAAATCATAAATATCTTTTGAACGTTGCTTACAGATTTTATTCCGGACGTGTAGATCAGGTCTCTACTCTGAACTAAGAGCAGCCGATTAAAAATTACTAACTACAAACATGTAAATTTTGAAAAATCATTTAGAGAAATATTTTAGACAATCTTGTTCGAGTTTTTTTGAACAAATTAACTCAAAATTACAGTAATCTTCTAGCACTTAAGAACTCTAA